CATAATCACTCATTCAAATAAAAAAATATATTATTACTCAATTGATTAATAATTTTATATCATAAATTATAAATAAATCAGCTATTTTACTCAAATATGTTTTATCTTTTGCAAGCTTTTCTCTTCTCATTCAAATAAAAGGATCTTATAAAATAATTGAGTAGATTGAAATGCATTCTTTTGGTCATCATTAAGTTGTGTTGAAGGGATAAAAATCTTTGAAAACAATTATGATACCAAATAGATAATATGCAAGATGAGAGTAATATATAAACCTACTACAACTTCATTAAATAGAAATTGGTAAATGTTGAAACAGAAAAATAATACGTTCTATTGTTTTAAAATTATAACATGTAATTACATCCATATTTCTCAAAATCAAAAAAATAACCCATCTTTTCAATTTCTTAATATTTCATTAATATAGAATTTCTTTCCTGTTTCTACCAAAAAAAATTACTAAATATCTTTCCATCATTTGTTAATGCTCCATCAATAAATATTGTATAATAATTATCTAAATCAAAATTACATTAATATAATGGTTTATTTGTAAAATTTTCTTACACTACAAATTAATGACAATAGCTACTTAATCTTAAATATCATTTCAATGAATATTAATAGTATAATTGATTCTTTAAAAAATCTACTTTCCAAATTTTGATTTGAAATAACTTTTCCTTTAGAGAAGTGTAGGTTTTCAGATTGATCAAAATCAAACAAACTCTGCAATTAAATGTTATTAATAGAATTCTTCCATTCTTTACTTTTTATTTAATTCCATCAACAGATTGTTTAATCAAAAATAGCTGATAGAAAACTATTGATCTATTTACTAAATTACAGGGAAGTAATTGTCTTATTGATGCCGTTAAGAGTAGTAATCTCGCTCAAGGTTCCTTACTAAAATTTCCATACTCTAATCTCAGAGTCATTGGTGGATATCATAGTGATCCAGATAATTTAAAAGAAATGCATAACATTATCTGGTTGATTAATTGGATTATCGCGTAATTTTAGAAGATGAGTTATATCATAATTTGTATGAAAATTAACATGATTAGAAATATATCGAAAGAGTCTAGATGTAAAATAAATTATATTGGACTTTTCACCATTGATCATGAAATTAGTTGGAAAATTTCACCAATATGATTATTAACCTTACAAATCTTAAAAATTAAAGTTATATACTTTTTATGATTATAAAACAATAAAGTTATTAATTTAGTTTAACTTAGTTATTTCATTATCTAAGGCAATGTGTTTTATGATTGCATAGATTAGGGAATTACTAACTATCTATCTATTGCTCTGGAATTTAATTCAGCAATAAAATAAATGATTGATACTTGGTTTTTTCGAATGAAGTGAAATAAACATTTCAGAAATAATTATAACATCAAAAAAAATTCTTTTATAAAAAATATTAAGGTAATAAAATTTAATCATAGTTATTACTTCTCAAATTATTATTTTTCTTCTAATTTCTCTAATTATTTTATCATCTTCTCATATTTTTGCGATTTATTTTGATATTCATAATAAAAATCGTAATAATCATTCTATCTTACTTCAATTATCGATCCAATATATAAATACATAAATTCTGCACCCTAAAAATAATTAAGAATATTTTAGCAATTTAATTCAAACATTTACGACAACAGCCCCAGTTTTATTTTTGAGATTGTTTCCGGTTAAAATTCAAAAATTCTTTTGATTAATTCATTTATTTTTGAAATTAATTATTTAAATTCTTACCATACAGTATAATTATCTTTGCTCATTTTATCTATCGGACTTATCAAAACGTTAAAATATTTGATAATCTCTATTAACATGAAAGGAGGTGTTGATAATGTTTTGATTTCAAAGAAATATGACATTTTAAATATACCTGACCAATATTCTCTCAATTTTATTTTATCTTACTCAATCTAATTTTTGCATTCTTGTAATTTTTGCTTATCTTCTTGTAAATTTGTTAACTAAAATTTGATTTAATTCTTTTTCAATGTGATAATTAGTTTCACTAAAAAATCCATATCTGAATTTAATAATCGTAGTTATAAATAACTAGTGATATCTAAAAATTAACAAATTTAGGCCACAACTTCTGGTCTAACTGCCAGAAAGTATTACTTTTGAAACTTATTCATTTTTTTATAAGTAAAAATATAATATTAATTTAATTACGAGGAGATATTATAAATTGATTTTTTTAATTCTTAAAGTCCTTCCTTTAACTTAAATAGGTAAATTAGACATATTATTGGGCAGTATATTTAAATTTATAAAACTATTTTTATATAATCCAAAACAGAGTATATTTATATATTTGTTATTTTTGTAGATTAATTATCATTTTATAATTAGTATACAGTCGAGTTAGAATTCTATAAACATAAATTTATAATATCATTCATATTAATTTTGTTGAATTAATTTGAGGAAAATTAACTCTCCTAAGAACAAGAGTGATTTGGTTTGAGATGCATCTAGCCATCATTAATCATAATTATGAGGATATCATTATGTAATTATTATTACAACATATTTTCTCAAAAGTAAAGAATTAAAGGGAAAAATATTTTGATGAAACCTATTATTCAGATAAATGGTTTTCTGAAAGCGTTTCTTTAGAATTTAATACTATCTATTGCCAAAAGGTTTTCAAAATCATTTGAAAAATACAGCTAGCACTTAGAAGGCCCAACTCAATATTTTTTAGAAAAATAATAATAAAATACTTTTGGATAATATAATCAGATTGATCTTCTTATATTAATTGGATCTAGTGACTTAACCAATTTAATTTTAATTACGGAAAGATCTTTATATTTTGAATTTTATTTGTGAATAATATGGCAGGTAATTTACGAAGTAATAATTATCTAAAATTCTATAATTCATGATTTTCTATAATTTTTAAAGTTTAAGCTATGGCAATTATTTCCTTATGATAATATGGGTTGTTAATCAGTGTTGATTCATATTTTAATAAACTACATTTTTCTAAACTCTGTAAGAATTTAATAGAGTTAGAAGAAATTTCGATATAAATGATTAATAGATAGTTAGAATTTCATTTCAAGGAAATATAAAAGCGATTAGATGTATTTGTTGATTATTCTTATAATTTT